TGTAGAAATGCATAGGGTTACTGTTACTAGTTTTAGGAGCACTTCTTTATTACTAACTGGAGCAATGTAATTCAAGACAAACTAAAAGATAAATTAAAATTATAGCTTTGGCCAGAATTCTACTGGTGCTTGTGCAAAATTTGTGTAACTTGCCATGGCTTACTGAAGAGCTGCATCTCAGTTGTGAAGTGACACATATTAGTGGGTACAAGACTGAGAGTCTTGACAAGCACCTTGACAATTAGCAGCAGAAAGTAATGGAGACCTAACATGAATACTAAGAGGATTCTGGCCTTTGAGTTGGAAAAGGCTTGTCTTGAATCACAGTGATCCAGTCTATGGTCAATGATTACCCAAAGCATTTCTGCTTTGAATATATCTGGTCTCCTACCTAGTCTGTAAAGGTTAAATTGGAAGCATTATGGTCAGAAAGACTGTATTCTATTCATTCTTTTAGACTACTATGAAACAGTTCTTATGTTCTTCCTGCTAGATCATCTGGACAAGCAATATTTTCCTTTGTCACCAGGTAAGTGCAGTTGTGCAGGGTCCAGTGTCAGATTTGTTGAGAGAGGCACTCTGTGAAGGCAGATATCCTTATTCACAGAAGCTGCTGCTGTGATTCCTATGACTAACGAGTGCCATGATGTGAAATATAATTTCCATAAATGAGCCATCAAATGGAGTCTTATGAACCACATCTCACTTTTGCCAAAAACAAACTGTCTGGTAATCCACTGAACAGTTGCTGGTTTGACCTGTTTAATCATTTATCTTTTGAAATTACAACACTGTGTGTATCATTTATACCTATTTTAGCAAGACAACCAGAACTGGACTCATTATAGTAGATCTGTGGTGGCATTTTTTATTATTATTCATGCAGAATCTGTAGTTATGCAATAAATAGAGAAGTATTTGTGTTCTGTGTAGGATGTGTACCTTGACTCTTTAAAAACATACACATATTGGCCTGTCTTTTGCATTATTTATTATCCTTGCTGTGTTTCTTGGATACCGCGATTCAAGATGTATAACAGTGGAAACACTTCCCTAAAGACAACTTGCCCAGCATTTGGCCTCTACTGATCTTCCTTACTAAGGCATTGCAGCAGGCAAATTGCACAGTATGTTCTTGGCCATAATATCATTCTTCCAGGACAAAAACAAACAAACAAAAAAAAAACTTGCAGGGGTCCACCAGATGCTCCAAAGTGAAATATGTTATCATCCTTGAATAAAACTTAGGAAATTCCTTCACATATAATGTATGCAGGAGTGCCTCGCCAGGCAAGACAATATAGTTCCCGCAGACAGACAATTTGAAAGCCACTGACTGATAAAAGAGAGTGTAACTTGGCCTCTGATACTCTCCACACCTTGAAAATAGTAGCAAAAAATTTCAACCTTAATAAAAAAAGAAGTCCAGTTCCCATGACTCAGCTTCCAGATAACCTCACCTGGATTACTGAGAATCTTCACAGATACCCCGAAAATAGTTAACAGCTTCTCAGAATCACTATAAGGCATAGCTTTCCAACTTTCCTAATCAATACGTAAAGGAAATGCTCAAATACAAGGCTCAATAATCAATGGGGGTATAACAGAAGCAGAGATTTGTTTTGAAATACAACTCTCAGATTCTCCTAGCCACCAAGACCAGTGGCAATAGCAGCAAGGGGATTCTTGTAACTGTAGTGTACCAGAAGAGCAAGCAACAGGAAGGGCGAATTTGCGAATGGATAGGGGATATCTACATGCCCGATGTCCTCTCAGCACATGAAGTCACTCTGACCAATTAGTACTCCAAGGAGTTACCAAAAACTTGCAAGGTTTGATTCCTATACCAACCCTGCAATGTAGGAATACCAAAATATCCACAAAATATACAGGCACCCAGCAGGTGAGCGAAGCAAGGCATGTCTTTAGTGCCAACAATCCTCTTTGTCCCAAACAGCTGTAAAATTGTATATTTTACTGAAGGTGGTTTAAAAAAAGCCAAAAAAAATTTTTTTTTCCAAACAATATCAAAAGTTACAGAAAATATCTAAAAGATGTGGCACAAACAGACATTCAAAAAAAAAAAGGAAGGGTAGTCTTAAGTAATTTCCAGCTGCTTTAAACTGGACATGGTCTGGATTAAGAATGGCCCAATGTCAGCTCTGTAGATTTAAGAACCTGTAGATTTAAGAGTCAACATGATTTCAGAATGATTTTTGCCAAGCTCCTTCTTAAATTGTGGCTAGCGGTTGTTAGTGATAAGACTCTTCTTTCTCAGCTTTGTAACAAACGTTCTAAATGGTCTCCTAGGAGCTGGAATCTTGAGTACAATCATTATAGATCACCACAGCCTGCTTACTAAAAAACGAAGTAGGGTGCAGAATTACCCAAATGATTATGCATCTGCATTAGTGCGATGAGAATGGTTTTCCACATAGTTAATTTCTAGATGTCTTTCCAACAAAACCTCTCCAGTTTCTCTCAACTCAGTTTGCTCAGCCTCAACTTCAAACAAGTGGTGGTTATTATGAACAAATATTGCAGCTCCTCGAAGCTTATGGCACAATTAAATGAGATGCTTCTGCTTCATCTGCTTCTTGGAAAGTAAAGCTTAAAAACAACAAGGGTTACAAACTGGTTGGGTAATGGTTCTGGGTGGAAGGCGGGTTAATTCATGCCAGTTTCCTGATATACATTCTTCCACATTCTCTTATGATATTCTTTGAGATAAGCAGTTTAAATGAAATGTGTGCATGCATTTAACACGTATAAGATAAACTCAGTACTATAACAATACTATCCAAGTCAGACAGTAAATCAATAAAGTCACCAGTGATTAATAGATGATTCACTAGTAAGGACTAAATATTTATTAATATAAAGTTGAAGACTCAGAGCAACTCATTTAAGAGGACAGGATATTATCACACTAATCCACAAGTCTACAATTGCAAGGCTTGGCTAGTATGACACACTTTATGTAATGACACTTGGAAGTTTCAATTGCCGTGTAATGCTGAAAAGAACATATCCAACTGAAACAAGAGAGTGTTCTGGTACCTTTAAAAAAACTAGCACATTTATTATGGCATACCTTTCTACGTATTCCAATTTCTACTGAACCTTCACCCATATATACCTGCTTACTGAGGATGGCCCTTCATCCAAGTGATTAACTAGACTGTACCCATAAAAGATTATGGCATCATAAATGTGTTAGTCAGTCTTCAAAGTGCTCCAAGACTTGCTTCTACTGGAGCAGACTAACATAGTTCTTCCTCCCGCCAAATTATCTCCACTTAAATGTTATAGGGACCTACCATCTGCAACCTTTGCTCCTCAATAGACTGGCTGCCAATGTGCAACTGGATACAATTCACTGTGCTGGTTTTGACCTATGAAGCCAGATGCAGCTTGGGACTCCCCATCTATGAGACTATCTTACCATATATCAGCCCTCCTATAATTTTTGTCAGATAATTAATCAACAAATGTTCTTGAAATAAGACCAATGGCCACTAAAAGCAGGGTTTTTTAAAAAAAGAATTGTACCTTGATGCAATTGAAGGATTTCCCTTTAAAATTCAGAAATGTATGTATGTATGTATGTATGTATGTATGTATGTATGTATGTATGTATGTATGTATGTATGTATGTATGTATGTATGTATGTATGTATCGATTGATCGATCGATCGATCGATCGATTGTATTTTTACCCCGCCTATCTAGTCAGATGACCACTCTAGGTGGCTTCCAGCATGCATAACATACATAACAAAATATAAAATATATGTAAATATATAAAAATGTAACTTTTATATTAAGTTAAATTAAATTAAATTTTTATAAAAATATAAAAATTTAACTTTCTGCATGTGTTTTAAGATATGACTTTTTTAAAGTCTGCCTTCTAATTTCTCCTTGTTGTGACTTGCATTGAACATGTTGTAAGAAACAACACATAACTTCTAAAATAAATCAATAAATGTACCTTTATTTCTGGATAATGTCACACTTTCTTCAGTATCTCAATAAAAGCATCTATGCTGAGATTTTGTCAATATGCAAAATTTAAAAACAAACTAATTTATTATGGCATACCTTTCTATGTATTTCAATTTTAATGGAAGAAGCTGGTTACTGTATTGGTTGAAAACCAATTAGGGTTGCTATCCTGTGTCCACTTACCTGAGAGTGAGCCTCACTGAACTTGGTGCTACTAACACCTGAATATATACAAGATTTTGCTTTAAATCACTGAAAGCATCCTGACAGTTCTAATTATTTAACTGCTTTTTAAACCCTTCAGTAGTAAATGATCAATACTACTTTTTTTAGAAATGCAACAAGAACCCAAGAAAAAAAGGGCAGCTCAGAAATACAAGTAGAGTGGCTTCTTATGAGCAACACAGATCAACAAGAAAGACACCAGAAAGCTGGCTGATCAAGTGTAGAATATGATAACCTACCCCAGAGGGAGAGGTTAAGCTGCTTGTCTGCTTCAATTTTTGTACCTCTTTCCGGGAAATAACTCATGGTCTCTATTGCTGTAATTCCTCATCATTGCAAACAGCTTTAGGTTCCAAAATGTATCTTCTCTCTCTCTCTTTTTTTATTATAAAGGAAAGCTATTTTTCCTCTCGCAATATTTTTATTCTTTAATACAGTTTTTCAATATACTTTGTCTCCACTTTAGATGACATGTATGACTCCCATTCATTATTTAAAACAAAGATCAGTACAGTATTAAAACAAAGGTTTCACGTGGAGCATCTTCCCCACCTACAAAAAAGAAAACCCAGTATTTCTGGGCATTCTGCCAAATTTTACTTCCACATATTCAGTTAATTTCCTTTTAGTCTACGCTCCAGCATGAAGCAATTATTAGGGCACATTTTCCTCCCACTGACATGCTTCAGTTGCTATTTGCAATCATAATAATATGCAGAAAAAGGAATGAATACATAAATAAATAAATAAATATCCACCACCTACGCTGGAATTGTGTAAACTTGATGGTCCCCATCCTCTCTCCGTTTCTGAACATAACTTGGCCCTAGATAAAGTAAATAGATACCTTATAATAAGGTTTATGATACCGTTCTAAAGCCACCATTTATCCTAAATGTCAATAAGATTAGCTAATGTGTCTCTTCCTCATTGATTAAAAATGTACTTCGACAGCAGAGATTCCAATGAACTAAAGAGAATAATATAACACAATGCTTGTTCTGCGTAAGTTAGTGCAGAAACAGATATGCAAAGGATGATATATTTACAGCTATTGACAGAGAGGATTAGTAGTCTTTTGTTGCTGATGATGATTTGGAAATCATCTAATAGGAAACTTCACATATAGACACAGAGAGTAAATGACAAGGAGCCACAGCTGAGAAAGGTGTGAATTGTGTACTATTAAGTTGAAAGTCATCAGCACACACAAGCTTTTTAAATACAAGCCCCGGGCATAGGATTTGCCACCCCACCCCATTTGCCTCTTTCTTTCTGTTCCCCCTATTGTGGATAAGCAGAGAAAGTGCAAGCATTCGGAGAAGCACTAACTGAACTCTACAAATTGCTGACTAAATTTGTTACTAAACATATACACAAGCCTGGATTCTAGCTTTAGTTTCATCAACACAGTGGAATGACATGAATGGACTGGAGCTTTTCTTCTCTTCCATTCCTTCTGCAGCTTCCTGTGTCCACTAAAAAAATCTGTTCTGATTTGAAGGAACTTGAGGACTCATGTAAGATATAGTCTGAGGAGTTGCAGATGGAAAAATGAGTTGGTGAAAAGCATTACCACTTACATGATGGAGGAGCAATTTAGAGTCCACACCACAGTGAATGGTTATGTCAAAAGATAACTACAATCATGTCTTTTATTCACCGAAAAGCATGCGGGAGAGGAGTTAATGGAAGTCAAAAGTTAGGTTTGACATTATTTCCCCCCAAAAGTGAGGAAACTGAGGTCACATATCAGTATCCTTAATCTCAATCCCAATATGGATACCCTGATGCATCCTTCTCATACTTTTAGCATTCATTCCCTGTAAACATTACAACATAATTCTGCCACCTATCCCACTTCCTATGTAGTCTATCATTCCTGGTACAGGAAGAGCTGAAATAGAATACAGGTTTTGATAGTGTTATGGTGTCCCTGGATAAGTCTTTCACTAAGGATGAACCAGAATTCCCCAAATCTGACAAGAAGGAGAGTAGGAACTGCTGGCTTCTGCAGACCCTGGTTCCTTATGGGCTCAGAAGATTGAACTGCCAAGAGACATTGGCTCTGTCCCTGAACCCAAGAAAGCAGCTGGACTATCTTCCAACTCATGAAGAAGCACTGCAAGGTAAAGGCACTTGCCTGGCTAGAAAGCCCCAACTGAATTGCTTAGTGGTATAGAACGTCTCCTCAGAAGAAAAGGCCACTTCAAGAGTAGGAGAAAGTGAAATCTTGAGTTAAATCTTTTCCTCTGAAAATCAGTAAGCAAACTCTTAAGTTGGTCAAGTACCACAGCTGACACTTGGTCAGTTGAGTGAAGTGTCATCAACTCAGCTATATAAACCTCAGACTGGGATTAGGGCTTTATTGGAGGTTACATCTCTGCTTAGTCCAGACCTTATCTTTTTTTAAAAAAATTATATATTTTTTGCTATTGATTACTCTTGCTGGGTCCTTTTTCTATTTGCTGCTGCTACTCAACTAGCTTGTTCATGGCCTTTGATTTTCAACATCCTCCAAACTGGCTTGCTTCATTCAAGTGCCCCAGCTGGCATAGACTCTACCCAGGGTTCAGCTTAGTAAGAAGCAGGGCAGATGGGTAAGGTACATTTTTTCGTTTAGCGAGCTAAGAGATGGATCTTACCTCTATTGATTATAGACTTTGAAAGTTAAAGTATAAGAAACTCTCCTATGAAATACATCCGTGCTTTGAATAAAGATGTATGGGTTCGGCAGCACTACAGTTCCACATCCTCCTTTTTCACATTAAAAAAACTGAATGGTTTTAAATGAGTCTGAATTAGAGATGGGCACAAATCAGAAAAAAAATTGTCTTTTTTAATTCATGATTTGTCAAGGTCAATGAATCAGGAATCACAAATTCATGAATTTTTCTGTTGAATCAACAAATTGATCTGTCAATTTATTTTTAATTTAAAACCATATAAAACAGCCCCCCCCCCAAATTGCTTAGAAACATCAACTTTGCAGGGAAGCTTCCTCTGATTCTCCTCTACAAGCCCTGCGGGTTTGGTAACGTTTGGATTTCGGTTGTCTGAGTTATATACTCATAAGTAGCCCACACCAGGAAAGTCCCCTCCAGACACCTGGAGATACCAAAACAACAGAGAAGATTCTACTGACTCTTCTCCACAACCTCTCCAAGTTGGGCAATGTTTGGGTTTCAGACATCTAAGTAATACACCCACAAAGTGGGTCCCCCAGGAAAATACCCTTTAGCAACTGAATTGGGGAAACCTAATTTTCATCCAAAATTGAGGAATTGTAGAGGAGAGTCATGGGAAGCCTCTCTGGGATTTTGGTGTCTCTAGGTGCCCGGGGATTTTGGTTTCTCTACTTGCCTTGGGTGACTTTCATAGGGGGCTTCCTTGTGGGTGTATAACTCAGACATCTGAAACCCAGACTTCACCAAACGTATAAGGCGTTTGCCATAAGAGAGTCAGGGGAAGCTTTCCTGCAAATTTGGTATCTCTAGGTGCTTGGGGGGGGGTCATTTTATAGGGTTTTAAAATAAAAAATGAGTTGATGCATCAATTCATTGATTTGTCAGGAAAAAATCGTAAATTCATAATTCATGATCTGTCAACCTTGACAAATCACGAATCAAAATGAAACACAATTTTTCTGATTCATACCCATCTCTAATTCAGACTCACTTAAAACCATTCAGTTTTTCTTAATGTGAAAAAGGAGGCTGTGGAACTGTAGTGCTGCCGAACGTCTGATGTTGTATGTAACTATATGTTATTTTTAGAAAGGCTACAAAATGGAGAACTTTCTCCATTCACAGTCCACTTCTCATGGAGGTCTACACACAAGTAGCTGTTCCACAGGTGGTCTCCATGCACTGGGGTCCTACTGCTACCTCTTTTTTTGCATGAAAGCCACCTGTGGTGAGCAATAGAAGTGGTAAAATTCTGGACTGCCTAAACTACTCTTTTTAAAAGCCTTAGCCTGCTACATTTTAAAACAATGTCTAAATTCCCATTCATGGAGCGATACCATAAAGCAATTTTCAGAATTAAAAAAAAAAATCTTAGGGGTTGCATGATGAAGGGAAGTATTTCATAACTTCCGAGAATCACCACTGCTGGGGTAATTTTACCAGCAGCAATGATTTTTGGAAATTAAACACTCTCCACTGCAACCTCCCATGGCCATTGCCAGCTTCTCTATGATGAAAGCAATCCCAAGGAGACCCCAGGAACTTCAGGGGAAATTTAATTTTTTAAATTTTCAATAAATCGCTATGGGTGGTGATTTCATCAGTCTTCTCCAGTGTATGTTACAGAACAGGATTTCAGACATTATAAATATTAAAACAAATAACATGTGGAGTGGTTTTATTACTTAATTTTATTAAAGGGGTATCTACAGGAATGGGAAGGCAAGGGAGTATAGCATTTAGTAAATAAAATGTGCATGCACATCATGTATCACAACAAGAAGAGTGTGCAATTTAATAGCGTATATGTATGTGCATGCTTGCTTTGACCATTAATAATAATATTCACTGGTACTGAGAAGCCTACAAATTTATCAGAATTTGGAATTAGATACAAACGGATAGCTTCATGGATTCCAACAAAGGTTTCTGTGGAATGAGGGTCACAGAGAGAGAGGAAAATGAAGAAATCAGAAAACTAAATGAGCAAACACGGTATTTAAGCATGTTTGAGGAATTATTTTTGTTAGGTATTATCATCTTTACACCTCCAACTCCACAAGACTTGCCAAAGAAATAATCACTATGTTTTAGAATGATTCTTATCTTGGAAACCCTGGTGAAGAGTCTGTAAACAGTATTTAGTAAAGTTTGTATGGAGTGTCTTTGGCTGATGGGGGAGGGGGAAATGGCTAACCATCATCATCATCATCTTAGAACTCCAGATCTGGAAGGGACCCTACGGATAATTAAGTCCAGCACTTGTCCCCAGTGTGACCAATGCCACAATGCACTGGCAAAAGTGTTTCATGATTAGCACTTCTGCTTTGCTGATATTGTAACTACTGTGGGTGGAACATTGAGTATCATGCATGTAGTTATACAATAGGATTTTACCCATTAGCTTTTGCATCTCAAGAACTGCATGTTTCTGCTATGAAAATCATTGGCAGTTCTAAACAATGTCTCTAGTTACATATGTGCCATAAAAGCACACATTTAGAATTTCAGGGGAGGACAAAGCCATCCTTGCACCCTCTGCAACAGCCGTGTTTTTATTGTGTTTTGAGAGCGTTGGCACTGCAATACTGCACACTGCTTTGGATTTCGGGGATAAACAGATAAACAAAGTAGCATATCTGAGAAATGCCTGTAGCTTACTATGTTCAGATAGTTTTTAAGAGACATTCAATCTCACATGCTCCAGTCTGAAGTGGCACAGTTTGGAATCCTGTTAGCTCATTCTACTACCTTGTTCTCTGTAACATTTAGACTGGTTCCTACATGAGCGAAAAGGTCATATTTGTATTTATCCTTTCCTTCTAACATTGCTTTTTCATTTACCTCCATACCTATTTAGTGAAGAGTGTACAGTATTTCTGAAATAAAGATGACACAATATAACTAACCAAATGTTCTTTCTGTTATATATGTCCCAATGTAGAAAGCAGAAGGAAAAATAAAGACTGCTATATCTGAAAGGAAAATCCAACGCTACAAAGAAAAATACTGCATAGGAACCTGGAATGTAAGATCTATGAACCTTGGGAAGCTGGAGGTGGTCAAACAGGAGATGGCAAGAATAAACATCGACATCCTGGGCATCAGTGAACTAAAATGGACAGGAATGGGCAAATTC